AATGGATGGAATTGGAGAATATCATGCTAAGTGAAGTAAGCCAATCCCCCAAAACAAAAGGCTGAATGTTTTCTCTAATAAGTGGATGCTGATCCATAATGAGGAGAGGGGAGACATGTGAAAAATAGAGGAACTTTGACTGGGCAAAAAGGAGGTATGGCAGGGAGGGTTCTTTGAGGCAGGAAAGATGATGGAATGAGATGAACATCATTACCCGAGGTACATGTATGACTGCACATATGGTGTGATGCTACATCATGTACAACCACAGAAAAGTAAAGTTGTGCTACAATTGTATACATGAATCAAAATGCCTTCTGCTATCATATATACCTAATTAAAATGAGTAAATTAATTCAAAAAAGAAAATTATGAAGGACAATAAAAACAAACTATCATGTAAAAAAATGTATGTTCCTTAGAACTTGAGGTCTTTCTCCTTGAGAAATTCATATCATTGTGATTGTGTTATTTTATGCCATTTCTGTGCCATTTTTGGGACTGACTGTGTGTGTTGTGGTTCTTGGAGCTAACCATTTCTACATAGTAACCTAGAAACTCCAAAGAACCATGAATTTTCACTATTGAATCCTTGAGGAGAGTTAGAGGCTTAGGGTTAGACTCTTAACATTTCAGGGACATTATAAGGACCAGCTCTCCTTCTCTTCCACAAGATGTCCCCTATTGTTACCATTACAGACATATGGAGATTACTGTTATGATGGTATTTTGTTCCTTTTGGTGATGTGATATATTAATCTCTGATCTTGGTGACAAAAATGTATAAGTCAGAAGAAAATAGTTTTTGATTTATGGTGGTAGGTCTGGGATTTCAGGACACTTTTGTAGTAAATTATTTTAGGACATAAATAGTGGTGATTAAGACTACCATGCAGGAACGTACACTGCCTGGATTCAAATTCCTATTGTATACTTACTAATTTTTTCACAGAGGCAGTGTACATAACCCATGCCTCACTTTTCTATATGTAACACAGGGGTAAAAAGAATACTTCAGAACTGTAGGCTATTATTGTTTTTAGTTTAACAAGACTGCCTGTCTTGGTACCTTGTGTATAAAGGACATAATGATTTAAAATTTTCTCACTGGGTCTGCATGTCTTTGAAATTACTGGGGAAGTTACTTTTTTTCTGCTTTCACTTTGTTTTTGGCACTGCCTGATGCAGCCAGCTATTATTTACTATTTACTTATTTATTTATTTTTGCCAATGGAAGTGAGATTGCCTGACACATTGAACACTGAGGAATTTCTACATTGTAATGATGCTCTTTCAGAGGAAGATTTGATAGATTTTCAAACAATGGTTCCACTCCCATAAAATTCAGCAAAGATTCAGGATTTTTCTTGGCTCCAAAGCCTCTGAGATAACTAAGGGAGGTATACAGGCAGCACTCTGGGATACAGTTTTCCCTGTGTTAATCCAACAGGTGAAGTTGTGTGTGTGTGTGTGTGTGTGTGTGTGTGTGTGTGTGTGTGTGATTCTCTCTGTGTCTCTAGCTCTCTGCACTCTATTTGCCTTATGAGCTTGGGGGAAGTGAGGAAAAGGAGAGAGAAGGTAAATGAATTATTACTGGTTAGTATATAAGGGGAAATAGAAATATTGCCCAGAGGCATTTTATATGTTACTTCATTTGAATTCCAAAATACCTTTTGAAAGTACTGCAGTGAAGTTTTTCTTTGAAATCAATAAAAAGAGTTCTGGATGACTTAATCTGAAAAGTAAATTAAATTTTATTAGATTTTAGATCTGGCTACTGATAGTGATGAAATAGCGTATGTTAGGTTAAGAATCACATTATAAAAGCAGGACAAATATGTTTTAAAAATGCTGTTTGAGGGCTCCAGAGAGCTACCAACAGAAAGTGGAGGAGTCTGATGCTTAGACAGAAGCACACTGGGTGAGCTCCCTAGTTATGTAAATGGCAAGTGGGCAATAAAGCCCAGGCAGAAGGCTGTGGTCTTACTGGATTTAGGAATCCAAGTTTGGAGTCTGATGCTTCCAGAGAAATTGGAATTGAGGGGTGTTATGGTTTGGATATGACGTGTCCCCCCAAGTCTCCTGTGTTAATGAGGAATGTTCAGAGATGAAATGATTAAGTTATGAGAGCTGTCACCTAATCAGTGAATTAATCCATTTGTTAGATTAATAATTTGAACAGGCTGATTGGTAACTCTAGGCAGGTGGGATGTGGCTAGAGGAGGTGGGTCACTCGGGGGCCTGTCTTTGGGGATTGGATCTTGTGCTCCTGGCTCCTCCCTCTTTCTCTCTGCTTTCCAGCTTCCGTGGACTGAGCAATTTTCTTCTGCTAAGCCTTCTACCATGATGTTCTTCCTCATATCCGGCCCAGAATGATGGAGCTGGTGGACCATGGACTGAATCTTTCAAACTGTGAGCCCAAAATAAACTTTTCCTCCTCTAAGTTTGTCTTGTTGGGTATTTTATTTTGGCCATAACAACATAAAGCTAAGGAACACAAGGGGGAATCCAGGAAAAGAGGGACCCACAGAGTAAGGAATTCTGAATTCTGTATAAATCTAGTCTTTGCTGATTCCCGAACCACGTGTACAGCACAAGATGCCAAGAAAGCAAGTGCAGAACAACAGCTAGAAAGCTGAAGGAGAAAAGAGGTTTCAGCAGCTGCCCTACCCTAGGCAGGCAGAGCTAATATGCAAGTCCTGGCATGTGAGAAAGGTTGGTGTGACATCTTGGGCTCTCTGACAAGACCACAGAAGGACCACCATGCCTTAGGAAGAAAGACAATACCCTGGGACAAAGTGCACACTTTAGGACTAAGAGTAAAACTGAGAAGAGACCATAGTGACAATAAAAAGTTAATAAAAACAGACTCATAATTGGCTCAAATGTTGAAATTATTAGACAAGTACTTTAAACCCTTTTCTGATCATGGTGATAACCCCTTCGAATGGTGACAGTACAGGACATATTATATTAACATATTAAGGAATCCATATGAAAAATATTAAAGATGGGTAAAGAGATGGAGCATTTCAGGTGAGAGAGAAAAAACTAAACTAGAACCAAAATGAAATTTTAGACTTAAAAAATTACAGTATCTGAAACAAATTAATATTCAGTCGATTGAGCATCACAGAAGAAAGGATTGATGAAGTTATGAAGAACCATAAATAGAAGCCATCGAAATTGAAGAGAGAAAATTATTTGGAAAAAAAATGACTGATTTTGTGATCTGTATGACATCATCAAGTGTTGTAGTTCTAAAGGAATGGGAGAAAAGTTTGTGAAGAATTTTTTTTTCAAATTTGAGAATCATCCAGATATAATAAAAAGTCAACCAGAGCTTAGAGAAAATAGGAAACAACCTATATTTAGATACATCACAATTAAATTGTGAATAAAAATAATAGAAAAATTTAAAGACAGTTGGAAAAAAGACATATTTACAGTGGAACTATAATAAGAATTTTGGCTAACTTCTCATGGGAAATCAGAAGACAATGGAACTGAAATGCTGAAAGGAAAAAAATCTGGAATTTCAATGCTTGTGAAAACATTATTCAAAATGAGGATGAATAAGAACATTCTCAAGTAAGTCAAAGACGAGGACATTTATTATCAGCAGAATCACATGGTACAAAAGTTATAAAGGAAATTTAAAAGGCTGAAGGAAAATGATATCTGATGAAATTTTCGACTAAAGAATAAAGGTCATTGGAAATAGGAATTGTGTGGATAAAGAATATTTTTTTTTTGATATTTTTAGAATACAGTTGATTACTTAAAGAAAAAACATTTTTTTGACTAATAACATGAACAAATGCAAATATGACAGCATAACACAAAGGACTACAGGGTGCACAGGGACTAAACCACTGCAATAATATTACCTTATTTGTGTTGTAGCAATTCATGATGCACTCTGACAAATTAGGAATCCATATAAGTATCACTAGACTTATAATAAAGCAAAAGTTTGAAGTGTTTATTTGGAATTTTTAAAAAAATATTTTTTAATTGTAGTTGGATACAATAACTTTATTTTATTTAGTTATTTTTATGTGGTGCTGAGGATCAAACCCAGGGCCTTGCACATGCTAGGCGAGTGTTCTACTGCTGAGCCACAACCCTAGCTCCCTGAAAAAAATTTTATTTTATTTTTTTTAGCTGTTGATGGACCTTTAGTTATTTATTAATTTATATGTGGTGCTGAGAATCGAACCCAGTGCCTCACCCATGCTAGGCAAGGGTGAGCCACAACCTCAGCCCCCCTGAAAAAATTTTAAAAATTAAAAAAAGTAATCACAAGACTAGTCAAGGAAGAAGTGATCCAAGACTAGTCAAGGAAAATTCACATCACCAATACCAAGACTGAAAGATCCTATAGATCCTGCATATATATATGAGGATATGTAAAGATAATGAGAATACTTTGAATAATTCCTGCATTTTAACACAACATATACCTTAGATGTGTTTAAATGCCTTCTGTAGAAAGAATTTTCTTCTGTGAGAGCTGAATCAAGATGATTGATTTGACTGATTGATTCTCTGGCCAAAAAAGGTGGAGAGGGATTAGGAAGAAGAATTTTACATTTCAATTGCTTAGCAGTCCTAATCACAGTATTTTCCTGATTTCAAATAGATTAAACCTGTTATTGAATAAACATGGGAAACCTAAAACTTCACATTATTTAAAATGACTCAGTAGTGTCCAAGAAGATGAGATGCGATTCTGAACATCTCATTTTCACTGTATTTGCTCTCTCAATCTCATAATTTTTGATTGGAGACACACTTGGAATTTACTTTATTTGACTTGCTGCTGTTTTGTGAGTCAGAATCTCCCACAGACACTGAAAATAGAAGAGGATTCAATGAGCTGGGTTAGCAGTTGCAGATCTGGCCACAAGATGGCAGAGTGTCTCTGCTAATGCAGAACAGATGGAAGGTTCTCTTAGGCTGACTTCTGTGAGAGCAGGCTGCAGAAAGGAGCTAATATCTGTGCAGGCAGTTTAGGACCTGCTGTGTTTTGGCGGAAAGGAAGAGAGACTGTGATACTAGCAGTTCCTTTCAAGCTCCAGACTGTAGTCCCAAAGGGGGAGCCATGAAGACACTGCCTGGGCCTTTGTTCCTGTTCTTGTGGCTGCAGCTAAACTGTGAGTTGAGAGCTTTTGGGAAACAAGGTGTTTGGTAATATTCATTATAAATCTGACCAGGATGCTGGCCTCTTCCAGTCTGCTTGAGGTTACACAAACTCTGGGAAGCGATGTCCTGATGATCTTGTCCAACATTTCCTTTTACTCAGGTGTGAGTAGAGGAGAGAAGGTAGAACAGCATCCTTCCTTCCTGAGTGTCCCGGAGGGAGACAGCGCTGTCATTCACTGCACTTACACAGACAGTGCCTCCACTTACTTCTTTTGGTACAAGCATGAGCCTGGAGCAGGTCTGCAGTTACTCATGCAGATTCTTTCAAATATGGAGAAGAAGCAAGACCAGAGACTCACTGTCCTCCTGAGTAAGAAGGACAAACATCTCTCCCTGAACATCACAGCAGCCAATCCCAGGGACTCAGCCACTTACTTCTGTGCCGCAAGAGCACAGTGCTCCCCAGACACCTGCAGCCTGTTCCAAACCTGCAGCAGGGCTGAAGATACACTCTATTTTTTTTTTTTTTATCTTTGAGAACATGATTTTCCTACATTTTATTTTCAATAGGTTCAATGTATATTTTCAACATTCTAAACATGCTGCAAACTTGTTGCAAAATGACTCAATAAGGATTAGAGTAGTTTAAATTAACTCTCATTGAGAGTTGGTGATTTCTTATATGCCAAGGCTCTAAGGTCAACTTTCTGGTGCCACTGAGATATTTCCCCAGGACACCTTAATGTCAATGTCAGAAAATACTCTTCTTGATGAGAAGTCTTTTATTTATTTAAAAAAATGTTTTAGTTGTAGATGGACACAATACATTTGTTTTATTTATTTATTTTTATGTGGTGCTGAGGATGGATCCCAGTGCCTCATACAGGCTAATCAAGCGCTCTACCACTGAGCCACAACCGCAGCCCCTTGTCATTTAATAATAGTATTTGCTGTCTGTTTCTGATTATAAAATTATTAAATGCATGGCATAGAAAAACAGTAAAACATAAAGTAGAAAATTGAACATGTCTCAAATCAAAAGCTGTCTTTTTCTAAAATAACGTTTTTTCCCTCTCTTCTTTATTTTTTTCAGTTAGGACTGAAATATTGAGGCCGGCTTCAAACACATCACCCTTGGGTCTCTTGTCCATTATTTTCAAGTTCCCCCATATCTTTTAAAGTATCACATGATTTCCTTCACAGGCCTTTGCTGGCCCTCTTACTTAAATCTCAAGCTTCCTCATGTGATCCTCCCCCTACTCCTTTCCTGTTTAGTATTTCCATAACACTCACTGTCAGCTAATATTCTATTTTGCTATTTATATATGTATTGTCTTTCTCTCCGCTTTAGGATGCAATCATAAAGAACAGAGCCTGTCACTTTCCAGGCCCTAAATAAAGCTGAGTGAATGATTTTTCTTTTTGATAAAGAACAGTGAAAGTGATACTTGTCAGAGTGGATGGTGTCTGCTTTGTTACTGCTATAAGAAATATCACTGGATTAGCATAGATAGCCCAGGATAACAACAATAGTGAGGACTAGGCAGTGGAAAAAGAAAATATTAGCAGTGTATTAAATAGAAAGAATTTTGCACAGGATACAAGAATAGTTTTAAATTAATGAGGAAGACCAGGATTATTTCTCCAATTGTGTTATATTAATTGTTTAAGTCAGAAGTTCTCAGACTTTCTACTGAAGCATCTCTACAGACCAGGGAGAATGAGCACCACCTCTTACTCCCTGAAACCTGTATGATGGGGCACAGAGATCCCAAGTACCTGCTGGAAGTGAGCGTCGCCTGCTCATTTTTACAACACTTGAGTGATCATTTTTATTATGCTGCATGGTATCTCCCTATTAATTTCAGGGCAGTATAGCTTTTAAATATTTACCTGTTGGTCTCATTCTCTAGTAATAATAGTGCTTCCAAATTATGCATCCTATTTATCTTGTGTTTTGCCTTAAAGGCAAGAGCTGTCTAATTTAAAAAGCACAAAGTTGAATATTTGAAAAAGTGAAAAGTCACCAAGCAATCAACATGCATTGATTAAATTAGTAAATTAAATGCTTTAAAAAATGAAATAAATGCTGGAGAAATTAAAATAATTATTACAAAGTTATAAATAAAAGCATAAATTTATAATTATTCAAAAAACTAAGGGAAGATTTTTTTGAACTGACTTAAAAACTATGTAAAATTGAAGAAATCATTTAAGTAACTGTTTACTATTATTTTGCTGCTAATTTAACAATGGATTAATAACTGTACCAAATACTTTTTATATGAAAAAGAAAATATTAATAACAATAGAAAAATACATAGATGATATAATGAGGCAATTTACATAGGGAAAACAACATGGTATAAAAATGGAAAGTGTTCATATCTATTGATAGTCACAATGAAACAAATAACTTTAAGAACCCGTTGGGGAATTATAGAAATAGTAATTATAAATGCTTGAGAGAGAATTTGGGAAGAAAGCACTGAAATAGATAAATTTGGTAGAAAAGTAAATTCATAAGCTGTTTTTGGCAAGAAATTAATTGGAAAGGCTTATATTACCCCAAACTGAAAACCAAAGTGCCTTAACTTAAAGGAAAGGCTTAATGACCCAAATGGAATATTATGTAACAGATTAATGGCATTTACAAAATGCATTTATGGAAGGGAAATTGCATGGAAATGGAAGGAGACCCTCAGGGTTATACAAAATTACATACAAGAGGAAGTGAGGGGAAAGGGAAAAATAATACAAGGGGGAGAAATGAATGACAGTAGAGGGGGTGGAGAGAGAAGTGGGGAGGGGAGGGGAGGGGAGGGGGGATAGTAGAGGATAGGAAAGGCAGCAGAATACAACAGACACTAGTATGGCAATATGTAAATCAATGGATGTGTAACTGATGTGATTCTGCAATCTGTATACGGGGTAAAAATGGGAGTTCATAACCCACTTGAATCAAAGTGTGAAATATGATATATCAAGAACTATGTAATGTTTTGAACAACCAACAATAAAAATTAAAAAAAAAAAAAACAAAAAAACCCAAAATGCATTTATGGTGATTATTGAGAAGTGGTAAGGAAAAATAATCATATCACCTGTGCGATTGCTGCTTGGTAGAAATATGAACAGTGCCATGGTTGGAAAGTGATCTTCCAAGATTTTGATAGCATAAATCTTTTATAGGATAATTAGTGATTTTAAACATTTTCCAAAATATGAATCATATTTAATTAAAAGTCTTTCTGACCCATCTTTTCCTGTAAATTCTTTAAAATTCCTCTTTGCTCTGAAGTTTGGTGATGCTGCTCCGGTCACCTAAACTTCAAATAACAAGACAGCAGTACCTCCTGACTGGTTGTGCAGCCTTTACTGAAGTCATATTCTTATACCAATTGTTCACGTTTATTGAGTTCCTACTGTGTATGATGCACTCTCAAAGCATTTTCTGTGCATTATCCCATCTAGCCCTCTTCATATCATTCTGTTGGCACCCCATTTTACAAAAAGGACATTGATACTTGGAGATTGTTAAGTAGCTTTTCCAAGCTCACTCAGAGAGATTAAATGAATTAGCTGGGTTTCAAAGCCAAGTGTGTTTGAGGCTGGAGCACAATCTCTTATCCAATTCTTCCAGAGTGCCCATCAACCTTTCTCTCCCAATTATTCTTATGGATGAGCACTAAGTGTATAGAATTCCACTTTTATAACACTACCCACTTACTCAAAAGCCTCAGTAATTCTTTGCTAATAAGTAACCTACAAAGGCATTCAGCATTCAGAAGCTTCTGTTTTCTGGATCCAAACTCTCCATCCTTCTTGATTTTCTACTGTACTCCAGCCCACTCTCCTTCTTCCATCAGTCCACCTTTTCAGCCATTTCTCCACAGAAGAACTTAAATGTATTTGAGGAAATGACTATAGTACATCCATCCTGGCAATAGTGAAGTAGAAAAGAAAGAAATTCTGACATAAACCATCAGAAGACTGGTATATCAAAAAACAATTTGAAATACTTCTTCAGAGGGAATTTTGCATGAACTGGAAAAACCTACACTGATTTGAATTCTTGGTGGATTTAAACTGAGTGTCTACTTATGCTATTCCAGTAATATCAAGAAAAAGTCCTTTGAAGTCAATGAACTTCCTATGGGAGGGGGGATTGAGAAGGAAATGATTCATATGAATTATGTTTTAAATGGTTAACCTAGATACATATGACAATGCTGTTTCTTAAAATTAAAATGTAATTCCTGTGTCTAACATTTTCCTGGGCTATGCATATGTCAATCAACAGATATTGTTGGGAATCTATGCTCCAGGACCTCACTATATGCTGTGTATGATACAATCCCTGCCTTGAAGCACTTAAATATCTACACAGAAAAAAACAAACAAAATGGTCAAAGTAAAATACTATTCTCTTTTTTTCCCTTCCAACTTTACATTGCTATTTACTATTTGAAAGGATGGACACTGATTTGGTAGTAAAGCTAATTGTTAACATTTATTTGATAGTGACTATATGTTAAACACAAGGCTCAAATTTGTACAAAACTTTAAAAAACCCAATCTTCATCATAATATCTGAGATAGTTTACTTGCTATTGTGATAAAATTAATTCTTATTGACATTATATAGAATATTCACATTCAAGCTCACTGAAATAGCCAGCACAATAGTTAGATTTGAGTTCTGTATATAAGATGCTTAATCCCAATATCTTACCACTATTTCCTCTGGTCTCATGGTGCAACTTGGTCATATATCATTCCTAGAGCAATACACTCATCTTCCATTCAAAGTGGATTTTCTGGTTCCCTCAGGCTTAACTATTCCCCTGGAAAAGGGACCATCCACCTGTTGTACTGGTTTCCTTCCAGCCTGCACTAACTTTGGTTTTATCCTTTGCATCATTTTCTGGAGAAAGAATATCCAAAGACCATATCTAAAGACTTGCCTTTTTGGGGACATTTTAAAAGCAAGGCCAGGGGGCAAAAAGACAGTGCAGTTAATAAATATTTGGGTTTGATCAGAAGCATGGGGGCTGGTTGGAAAGGAAAGGAAATCAAATGTTGATATCTCCAAAGCCCTTCCCGCTCCTTCTCCAACCTGTTGCTAAGGTAACCTGCCCCAGGAATTGTTCCTCCCTGCAGGGAGTTGTAGGAGTTGTTAATTAATATCTCCTGGGCTGGTCCCTTCCTGCCATACCCGTGGGTGGCTTTGTTCTAGTCCTTGGATCACTCCACCTTCACCTTTTGGTCACCCACAGGATGGCGTGAGGAGAGGGGGGCAAGATAAGAGAAGAAGGAGGGCATGAGAACAAAGAAATTCTAAAATGTATAAAAGGGGAAGGACACCCCCACTTCTTTGGACACTCAGTTCGGGACCCCTTCTCTGCACAGAAATCTATCTTTGTTCTGTCCTTTAAATAAAACTTGCTTTCTACGCTTTCCTTGGGGTTTCTTGGGTGTTCAGTCTTCACATCTGGGGAAACGAAATGAATCAGAACTTGGCCCTGACTGATTCTTGTCATTACCTGGATCAAAAGAACATAATGTTGTTAAGCTAAATAAAATGTAGTTATTTTACAGTTATACACAGATTAAATGAATTGAGGTAAATGTAAACATTTTATTTTTAGTGGATGAATTATATGTGAAAGGATTCATATTCTTAGCCTACACTGGATTGACACCACGGACATAAACAGAGCTGTGTATGCTTGCCGTTCCACTCTTCAGAAGGAATAAGATAGGAAAGCTGCAAGTGACAAACCTCTACTAGATTTTCTGTGTGTGTATGTGTGTGTGTGTGTGTATGTGGTGACAGTTGTGACATCCAGGGGCGAAATGTTGAGTTTGCATGAGTCCAAGGGGGCTTCTACTTTTATTTTTAATCATTTTTTTCAATCTGTCACAGCATTCTTATAATGTCATCTGAAATGACATTGATAAAATCAACTGGATTTTCTTTGTCAACAGCTGTGTACTATAGTATGATTAAAAATAAAACACAACTTGCAATTTTGTTTAAATCAAGATAACACTGAGGCAAAGCATATGAAGCAAACTATTTTTAATTAATTCTTAAATTCATGTGATGCAATCAACTGCTGTGGCTTAAAAACATAATAAAGAAGTCTCAAGTACTGAAGTTTTACCTCATGCTCAGGGAGAGACATTTCTTTCTCATGCTGCAGTCTTGATTCAGAGACAACAATTTATTATTATCTTCCCTTATTTCCCTCTACAATTTCTGTTGATCCTCAGCCCCTCCATGTTGAGTCTACTGAAAGCTGCATATTACTTACAAAAGTAGATTTCCTAATATGCATTGTTAATGTTTGGTTCTTTGATATGTTCATGCAGGTTTTGGTGCACGTGTGTGTGTGTGTGTTGTGTTTGAACTTCTATTCCTCTTTTCATCCTTCCTTGATTTTATCAGTTAAGATCGTTGTTGTTTTTTGAAGAGAACCCCTATCCTACTCTTCTCCCCACTTCTGCCCACCTGCTCTATAATCACTGGTGATAGTTTTGCTCTGACACACTTCAGACCTCAATGCATAGATAAGTGAAAGGAAATAAAATAGTTTTGATGACTGCATTATAAGGGTCTATAAAATTAAAAACTACGTACCATATAGGAGCAGTAATTACCCTGGCACACCTGCTGCAAGAGGTGCACACCCACTGTGGTAACATTTCTTTGGTGATTCTGTCTGTGGCCACCAGGTGACACTAGCTCTCTTTCCCTCTGTTGACTAGGCCTTTTCTTATGACTTTGAAGTAAGTTTATGTGGGAGGAGCTCATCTCTGATTGGCACATCATCAGAAAAGCCTTCTGGTTTATTGGATCCAAAGGACCAAGAAAGAAAGACTTTTGGCTACATAATTTTAGGCAGCATTTTGAGTATCAAGACAAAGTATCAGGATGAAGAAGATGCAGGGATCTGTGCTAGTTATATTTTGGCTTCATCTTGGCTGTGAGTTGGGGGGTTCTTAGAGCTGGGAGCTCCAGGGGACATTTATTGAAACCTAGGGGACAGATGAGGGTGTAATTTGAACTTATTTGGCACTTTTTGGAGGAGATTTAGGCACAAAGTTATGAAAGGTCTGAACTACAGCTACACATTGTGTCTGTTGTTGTCTTTCAAACAGGGGTGAAAGGGGGAAACCAGGTGGAGCAGAGTCCTCCTTCCTTGAGACCCTGGGAAGGAGACCGCACCTCCATGAGCTGCACTTATTCAGTCAGTGTTTTTAACGGTCTGCAGTGGTACAGACAGGACGCAGGCTCAGGTCTCCGACACCTCTTCTCCATGTATTCAGCTGGGGATGTGCAGCAGAAGGGAAGACTCCGAGCCACGTTGCTGAAGGGTGGAAGCAGCTTGAACATCACAGCCGTGCAGCATGGAGACTCAGCCACCTACCTCTGTGCTGTAGTCACACAGTACTGCCTAGGCACCTGCGACCTGCACCCAAATCTACAACTGAGCAGGCGTAGCTTGACAGAACCCTCTGCAGCAGGGCTTGGAGCCTGAGTCCTTGCGTGGAGTTAAGGGCTGGGTTGACCAGGGAGGTCAGGAGACAAGTGCTGCTGCTCATTTGAGCTACATTTTTCATCTGGCCACCCTTCACATTCTCCTGGGGCCTCTTCTGAGTACATCAATCCAAGTGCTACTTCTCTCCTACAAGATCCATCAGAGCCCCTGGTCAGTCTTTGAATATGGAGAGCATGTTCTCTTTTGGGTCTGGTGGAAACAGAAAAATTTACTATTGTACTTCCACTTCTAGAAATCTGACAAAAGAACTCTAAATGGAAACATAAATCTGGACAGGTATGTGTACCAGAAGGCAAGCATTGTGGTTACCTTTCAGTATGTAAAATGTTCTATAATTGGAATACACCTCCTTATTAACAGTTTATTAATAAACTTATCAAAGACCTACTAAGTGTTACACGCTCTGCTTCCTGTTCCCAAAGAGCTCAGGCTGGTAGGAATGATAGTCTGGTAGTAATGGTTTGTGGAAAATGCCATAGGAGCGATTTCTATTCACTCATGCATTGAAGAAACATCTAGCAGCTCCTAAAATGTGCCAGCACTCTTTGTAAGCACTGGGACAAATCAATGCTGAACATAACAGATAAACTTTGTAGAGCTCATGTTTCCTGAAGTTCTGTGCTGCACAGAGGGAGATCTGAGTCTGTCTAGGAATGGAGGTCTTTGAGAAAATTCAGCCAAATTCAGTGTTTTCTTCATCACTCATTATTTTCAGAAAGCATGGTTAAATATCGGATCTGGCTGAGTGGTGCTAGACTCTGAGCAAGTGCTTCTGAAGCCTGTTGCCACTTATGACAGTAGCAAAACTGGCTCCCATGTGGCAGAAATTGCTGGCAGGGCGAGGAGGACCTGCCAGGTGGATTTTGGTATCAAATCAACCTGGAAAGTGAAGGACTACCAGCTGACATAGGAAAACAAAATATAATAACACCTGACCCTTTATCTAACAATAAAATTGTAGAGATCAAATAAAATACCATTAGAATTTATGAATGATATTAAAAGTAAGCACACATTATTTTAAATAAGTATAGTTTTCTGGGAACAAGGACTATAGATTGTAGGTGTTCTTAAAGGGACCCTGCTTTTGTGAAACCATCATTGGAGAAGGGGGCTCAGCACACTGTGACGATGTTGAAGGGATCCCTGCTCCCATAAGAATATTCTGTCTTTCCAGAGGCCTACCTTCCCCAAGCAAGTGAACAGGTGCAGCTGGGTCCCTGAATGCTCAGGAGGAATCTCCATCATCACCAATTGCAATAATGTTCCCAGTTTCTAGTATTAAGGCAGAATCCTGAGACAGGGCTTGATGTTCTGCTAACTTTGAGGAATGGAGAAAAAAGACTGCTGTGATTAAAAACAAAAAGAAAAGAAGGAAGTAAGGAAAGGAAAAACAGAAAAGGAAAGAAGAAAGAGAAGCCCAGCTCCCTGTTTTTTGTGTCTTCAGATCAGGTTCAGGCATTACTTCTGAGCAGAGAGGCCCAACAGCATTCTCCAGGCACCACAGCCAGTGTCTCAGTGGTTCTCAGCCCAGGCTGCACATTAGAATCAGCTGATGTGACTTCTATTCAACATAGTCCTGGAAACTCTAGCCAGAGCAATTAGAGAAAAGAGAGAAACCAAATGGATACAAATAGGAAAAGAATAACTCAAACTATTTCTATTTGCTGATGACATGATTCTATATTTATAAGACCCAAAAAACTCCACTAGGAAACTTCTAGAATTTGTAAATGAATTCAGCAAAGTAGCAAGATATAAAATTAACACCCATAAATCAATTGTGTTTCTATACATTAGTGATGAATCAAATGAAACAATAATTAGGAAAATTAGGAAACCAACCCCATTCACAGTAGCCTCAAAAAATATTTGGGAATCAATCTAACAAAAAATGTGGAAGATCTCTACAATGAAAACTACAGAACTCTAAAGAAAGAAATTGAAGAAGAACTTAGAAGATGGAAAGATTGCCTGTATTCTAGGATAGGCAGAATTAATATTGTCAAAATTGCCATACTACCAAATGCGCTATGCAGATTTAATGCAATTCCTATTAAAGTTCCAATGACATTCTTCATAGAAGTAGAAAAGCAGTCATCAAATTCATTTGGAAAAAATCAGAGGCCCAGAATAGCCAAAGCAATCCTCAGCACAAAAGTGAAGCAAGAGACATCACAATACTGAACTTTAAATTATGTTACAGAGCTACAGTAACAAAAAGAACATAGTGGGGGGATAGTAGAGGATAGGAAAGGCAGCAAAATACAACAGACACTAGTATGGCAATATGTAAATCAATGGATGTGTAACTGATGTGATTCTGCAATCTGTATACGGGGTAAAAATGGGAGTTCATAACCCACTTGAATCAAAGTGTGAAATATGATATATCAAGAACTATGTGATGTTTTGAACAACCAACAATAAAAATTAAAAAAAAAATAAAACATAGCAATTGAAAAACTTTGAAAAAAAAAGAACATAGTATTGGCACCAAAACAGACATGAAGACCAATGGTACACATAGAAGACACATAAATACAGTTAAATACAGTTATCTCATATTGTACAAAGGTGCCATCAACATACCTTCAAGAAAAAATAGCCTCTTCAACAAATGGTTCTGGGAAAACTGGAAATCTATATGTAACAAAATGAAATTGAATCCCTGTCTTTCACCATGCTCAAAACTCAACTCAAAGTGGATCAAGGACCTACATATTAGACCAGAGACCCTGTGCCTACTAGAAGAAAAAGTAGGCCCAACTCTCCATCATGTCTGCTCAGGAATGAATTTCTTTAATAAAGCTGAAGCACAAGAATTAAAATCAAGAATCAATAAATGGGATGGCATCAAACTAGAAAGCTTCTTCACAGCAAAGAAAACAATCAACATGAACAGAGAGCCTACAGAATGGGAGAAAATTTTTATCACCTTCACCTTGAATAGAGCATTAACCTCCAGGATACACAAAGAACTCAAAAAATAACACCCCCCCCCAAATAACCCAATCAATAAGTGGTCAAAGAACTGAACAGGCACTTCCCAGAAGAAGAAATATGAATGGTGAACAAATATATGAAAAAATGTAAAACATCACTAGCAATTAGAGAAATGCAAATTAACACGACACTGAAATTTCATCTCAACTCCAGTGAGAATGGCAATTATCAAGAATACAAGTAACAATAAATGTTGGAGAGGATGTCGGGAAAAAGGTACACTTATACACTGGTGGGATTGAAAATTGGTGCAACTACTCTGGAAAGCAGTATGAAGATCCTCAGAAAACTTGGAATGGAACTACCATTTGATCCAGCTATCCCATTCCTCCATTTATACCCAAAGGACTTAAAATCAGCAGATACATTGACACAGCCATATCATTGTGCAGCTCAATTCACAATAGCTAAACTATGGAACTAACCCAGGTGTCCTTCAACAGATAAATGGATAAAGAAAATGTGGTATATATACACAATGGCATATAACTCAGTCCTTAAAGAAGAATAAAATGATGGCATTTGCTGGTAAATAGGGAGCTGGAGAATGTCATGCTAAGAAAAATAAGGCAGTCCCCCAAAACCAAAGGCTGAATGTTTTCTCTGATATGTGGATGCTAATTTACAATGGGGGTGTGGGGGAGGAGGGAGAAGGGGAGGTCCACTGGAATAGGAAAGACAGTAGAATGAATCGAACATAACTTTTCTATGTTCATATGTGAGTACACTACCAGTGTAACTCCACATGATGTACAACCACAAAAATGGGACCTTATACTCCATATATATATATACACACACACACACACACACATATATGAATGATATGTCAAAATACATTCTACTGTCCTGTATAACTAAAAAGAACAAATAAAAAAATCAGCTGTTTGGTTTGCATTCACCTCTCTGATCAATTACGTCAGAATCCAGTGGATAGGCCCTGGCATGCTGTGCTCCTCAGAGGTGTGTGTAATGTGTAGACAGGAGGAGAACTGTGCACTTGGCAAATTCTGCAACCAGAGCTGCTGGAGCCTCTTGGAGTTACATATATGTTGCAGAGTCTGTTGTTTTAAGTTACTTTTCATATTAGAAGCAGTGTGAAATACCAGTGGAGGCTCAGCTGATCACTGGGCTACAGCCCTGGGGGCTCTAAGAGCACTGGAATAGGAGCTACAAGTCTAAAGACATAACAGTTCAATAACATGGAATGGTTTCGGACTAATGGATTAATAGCTCTTTACCTCGTTTATTTCCAGGCATATGAAGTTCAAGTAATAGAAAAAAATCTATGGTTTGTAAACATTAGACTTTGGTGCGAACACAACTAGTGGATATTAATAAAGCTCTGTTGCAAGATGAGTAAAGATTTAACCTCATATGATCTAGTGTATGTGTCCTCTAATATTTGTTGAAAGAATAAAAAAATTGGTTTGAATGAAAACATAGAGCAAGGAGACTGGGGATGGAGGAACTGGTAACCTGTTCTAAGATCCTGTAATAACAAAACTGACTATGAGAAAAATCACTGATCATCTTGTGTTTTATGTCTGTCTTTTAATTTCTGCAAAAAAGAGAAAGTAATTTGTCTCCTGCTGTCTTCACAGGGTGACATACAACTTCAGGCTTTAGAAATAGATTTCAATTTAAGCATTTGGTCCTTTGGTTAATGGGTTCATTTACATTCTTGAAAAATCTATTATCATTTTATCATCTAATTTTAAAGGGTAAGTGAGTAATAATTTGTCCAAGTATTTTAGAGCTATTAAGAAAATTCTCAAGAGGTTTGTGTAGGTGAAGGTGGAAGAATTATTTCCCATTCTTTCCAATTTGATGGCTCTCTGCCTCTTGGTTCTCTATATAATATAGCTCTAATCATTTCCCCCTGGCTCCCAGTTCTTGGCTGAGGGAAAGCTTGAACACAACATAATTCATTTCTTTGTCTATCCATCTTTCAACACACAGTTGCTGGTTGCCCATCGAGGGCCACACACCTTGGTGTGATCCCAGGCCATCTACTGGTCCTTACCACGTCCCAGGCACAGGAAGTAGCTCAATTTTCAAGCGTAGTTTTGCAGGTTTTTTCTCACTTTCATCTGTTCCTATTTCCCTTCTTTCTTTCTTCTATTACTTTCTCTGTTTCCCTCGTCTATCATCTAAAATGTTCTCCTTCTCTTATTCTCTCCAACTTCTTTTTTTCTGCCTCTAAGCCCATTTTATTAGTACCATGAAATATACATGGTTTTCCTGTGTTGTTGCTTTTTCTAGTGTTTGCCTTGGATGGTTGTGCAAGGAAGAACATCCTTTTTTTTTAATATGCCACAATTTTTATTGCAATGTGGCCAGTTTTGTTAGGGTAGGGAATTTGATCTCAAAACAATGTCCCATTTAAGACTCTTTTAAACCGAAATTGCCATCATGACTGATATTCAAAATATCATTGTTACAAGACTCACATGGTAAACAGAAGACTCCTACAGCTATTCAGTAATGGACTCTAAATGGGAAACAAAAACGGCATTAACAGCTATTTCTTTTAAGAAGACATGCAGGAAAAGACAGTGGGAAGTTGGAAACTGGGTACCTGGCCAGCTGGAGATCTGATATGGGAGCTGCCCCTACCAAATATGGCGAGGGAGGTGAGCCAGGATGTAGGCAGTTTGCTTCCAGTGCCGGGGTGTTGGGTGAGGTGGGGGAGCCAGGTGATGGTGTTGTGCTGGGGTAGGTAGCAGCTGAGTGACCTGCATGGGAGTGGAGTGAAGTCTGGGAGTTCTGCAGGGGTGCTGATAGGCGATTCTGCTAAGGTGCTTGCAAGCCCTGCATGGGCTAGAACTGCGGGCTGTGGGTTTCGGGAGCCAGGAGTCTAGAGTCCTGCTCGAATGCTGAGGCTCAGAGCCCTGAATGGGGTCACAGCTCTGCTGATTTCTGCAGAGAGCAGCTGTATAGGGGTTCTCTAACACTCTCAGAGATGCAGTATTCTGACTAGGTGAGATCTGGCTCACAGAGTGATACAGAATGCTGTCTCCCTCTGGCCCGCCATCTTTGTTCTTCATATACCACATTTTCTTTATCCATCCATCTGTTGAAGGCATCTAGATATAGCACATAATATTTGATCATGATAATAAATGACTATATTATCGATTTATGTAAAAAAACCCAAAATTTGATTTCCATTAAATAGCATTTTGTAAGTCATTTGTTTTTAATCACCATAAAATCAAGGCAGTTATTTTCTTTTCTGACCATCTGCATATCTTGCACCAAGGAACACATAGTGAGTGGGGCTGGGTTGAGTGACTGCTAAGGACTTGGTTGGTCTTCAGTGACCTGTGTTGATGGTTTCAGTCCACCAGGGGGCACCCCAGGCTATACCAGGAATGACTTATCTGAAGATCTCAGGGAGCTGAACAGAGAGAGGAGACCAGAGAACATAGGATCCAGTCAGGTCAGAGGCAGGGGGGAGGTGGTGCTGGTGTAAATTCATCTCAGGTCTTCAGCTTTTCCATTCTATATAAAACCTCAGAAGGCTGAAGTCCATTTCTATATTCTATACATAACTGGAGCTGTTATGTCTGTAAATCCATTGGGAGGGTGGCTTTCTGAGCAGAGGTGAGAGAATTGGAATTTTGGGCACTGTGAGCATAGAAGCTTGATAGAAATTATCACCATCATCTGTTTTCATTAAATTTTTAATGAATAAAATTTCCAAACTTTGCTGATCTAGAAATTATTCTAATAAATCTGATACTCGGTCTTTTCATGTACCTTCTTTGGGACTAGAAAAAACAAGAATAAATAGATGAGAATAAAAATAGGAAAAAAACCCAGAACAAAAATAGAAGAAGAAAAGGGAGAGGACACTATTAAACTTTTGTCATGGACAGAGTTTATTGAGTATAGGGAAAGGGTTGGATAGAAAAAGGGGAAAGGTCAAGAATAAACACGGTGGACTTCATACACATAACCTATTTTTATATTTTTTTAAATATTTATTTTTTAGTTGTGGTTGGACACTGAGCCACAACCCCCAGCCTCAACCTATTTTTATTTTAACTAATGAAACTCTTGTTGGAAATGTTTCCTATGCAGATCATGATTTTTTTTTTCTACTGGGGATTGAACTCAGGGGCACTTGACCACTGAGACACATCCTCAGCCCTATTTTGTATTTTATTTAGAGACAGGGTTTCACTGAGTTGCTTAGTGCCTCACCTTTACTGAGGCTGGCTTTGAACTCACAATCCTCCTGCCTCAGCCTCATGAGCTGCTGGGATTACAGGGATGTATCACTGTGCCCTGCAGATCACAATCTTTTAATTTCAAGAAATTATGTTTATTTCTTAATACACAATTCTTATTATCAGATAGTTTGCCTTTATCAGAATTTTTATATCATTTATTTCTGAATCTCTGTCAAACTCTATAATTTGAGCAATGGGCTTACTCTTCCTATGATTCTTAAAGGCTCTATTTCACCCAGTTATGATGTTGCTCCTTCTCTGAGGTATCATCCTCCTTCCTCACATACTTTTCCATAAACTTCTCTTACATCAACCTCTATAAGAAAAATACCCCACTTTTATCTTCATTCATTGGAAACATCACCCTCTACCCACTGCACCATCCTCACACAATTCTGAAGCCACCACTGCTGTCTCCCTGGGCCACTGGGGGTGGAGCTCCCTTTTAGAGGCAGGACAGAGCTCAGATGTGACTGGTGCTCAGGGAGTCAGGTGGAACCTGTTGCCTGGAAGAACAAGCTTGTCTGGCCCAAGACCTGACACCTGCAGAGCAGGGAGAAGCCCCAGCAGCCAGGCCAGCAGCCATGCAGAGGGGACTGGGGGCTCTGCTGGGGCTTCTGTGGGTGCAACTTTGCTGTGAGTCAGATTCCTCCCAGATGGGGCTGGGGGTGTCCCAGGGCTGACAGTGTGAGGGAGGGCAGGGAGAGCTGGCACCAAGCCCCCTCCCTGTGCTCCATCCTCAGGGTGTTTCCTGGGATATTCTGCAGGTTTGTGAACTGGTCATGGATTCCCCAGTGACACCAGCTGAGTTTGCTTTTCTCTTTCCAAGCAGGGGTGAGAGGGCAGCAGGTGGAGCAGAGTCCTTCAGCCCTGAGGCTCCAGGAGGGAACCAGCCCTACTCTGAGGTGCAATTTTTCCACCACCATGACCAGTGTGCAGTGGTTCCGACAGAATCCTGGGGGTGGCCTCATCAGTCTGTTTTACCTGGCTTCAGGGACAAAGCAGGAGGGAAGGTTAAAGGCAACAGCAGATGCTAAGGAGCGCTACAGCACCCTGCACATCTCCACCTCCCAGCTGGAAGACTCAGGCACCTACCTCTGTGCAGCAGAGGCACAGTGCTCCCAGGGGACCTGCAGCCTGTCTGCAAACTGCAGCTGCACCTGAAACCACAGCCTGTGCCTCAGGGAGGACTTGCATGGCAGTATCTGAACAGTTATGGGTGTCCTGATTCACACTGTAGCACTGTCACCTCTGCTAACATTCACATTCTCAGCACTGTCATCCTGCTTGGGTTGGACCCTTTTCCTCACAGAAACCCTTTGCAGGAAAAATTTCTAACAAGGAACCATTGCAGCAATTGATGAGGATATTAGGACCCAAATACTGTTAACAGATCCTCAGGCAGAGCTTAAAAATGACATCTAAATTACTGTGATGAAAAAGACTTGAGTGTTAACAAAATTGAAAAGAGATGTCTCAGTGTGTTCCAGCGAATAGCAGATTGTTCAATTTCCAGGACAAAATGTATACTTTTTCTCTCTCTATGTCTCTATGAACATATATTTGTACTCAATGTTGGTATTCAGATTTTCACTCCTGGAACCCATAACAAATATAATTTAAAACTCCTTCCTGTCTTGGAGTGTTAGGCACCCTATCTAGGTTGTTCCATATATGACCCTAGTACTGACAATACTTGTTTACTTTGCAGACGAACCAGGTTAGAGCAGAAGTGATTTACCTGAGTTTCATGGTTACTAATTTGCAAAGTTGGTGTGGGATTCCCACTCAGAAATCTGACTACAGAGCTCGTACTCTGAGCTAGCCAGTGAATAAGACACAAAAACGTAGATTTTGACAAAATTTTACAATGTGTTCACATACATCACTGATGAAAATATCTTTTTAATTATTTCTAAATAGCATCTTTTAAGGGAAAACTCCTGAAATTTTTCCTTTTGTTATATGAAAATCCACTGCTCTTCTTTGCATTTAAAAAATACCTTTATTTAATTTATTAATTCATTTTTATATGGTGCTGAGGATTGAACCCAGGGCCTCGCATGTGCTAGGCAAGCGCTCTACCTCTGAGTCACAACCCCATCCCTCTTCCTTGTATTTTTGAATGAATCTATTACTCATGATTTTCTGAAATCATTTAGGGTCTGGGAAAGGGAGAAAAAATATTCCAGCACTACTCCCAAAGCAACTTTTATTTGCTGTAATCACATGCCAAGACTTCTCCCAGCCAACTGCAAAATTTAAACCTGCATGAGTATCAATTACAATGTGAATCTAATTTCCACCTCACTGTCTTAATGGAAGGGATCAACTAGGAATCAGTGGGACCCTGAGATTAAGGAGAAGACATGAGCAATTCTGGTGTTGCTGGAAGTAGGATCAGCTTTCTGGGCTTGTGACCTGTAAGGTTTCACAGGGCCTGCCACTCAGAAAGGGGCAGATGCTTGATTTAATGTTCTGTTATTGCTGTCCTGCAGTTCTTAACAATTTTGTCTTTGAAGGTATGTTTTGTAACTGAAGTCTGTTAAGAGGACGGAGCATGTGCATGAGCAGAGGAGTTTCATGGGGCTCTAGGACAGGAGCACATGGAAGTTCATGTTCAAGGGCATAGTTGTTCCACCCATTCCAAGTGCAGGGGCCCACTACAGGCTTTCTGGTGCTCTGCAGGTCCTCAAAGTGTGTGGAAATATACGTTTTTAGTAAATTTGTACAAAATGAAAACATAGAAATGAACATTGCAATAAAACATTTAGGAGAGTTGTTAGAATCCTTGGAAAAGTTTAGAAACTCTAATTTTGAAAATTGAGGCTGCATTTCACAATGAATATCCATGGGCTTAGAAACAGAAATTAAATGTAATGATAGCTACTTGATAAAAAATAATACTTTCATGTGAAATTTTGAATAAACCAATTATTAACACAGAAGATAACTTTAATATTAATTTCACTGGAATTTAAGATACCGTGATGGGATGCGTAGATAAGCATTCTTTTAAAAATTTTTTTAAAAAATTTGTTTTAATTATAGATGGCATTTAGGCATTTATGCACTTTGACATATCATACATAGATAGGATATAATTTTTGATTTTTCTGAGTGTACATGTTGTAGAATCACATTGGTCATGCAGTCACATATATACATACAGTGATAATTTCTGTTTCGTTCTACTATCCTTTCTATCTCATATATCCTTCCCTCCCCTCCCTTCACTTCCCTCTACCTAATCTAAGGTAATGCTATTCATTTCTAGTGCCCCCTGCCTTATTGTGAATTAACATCTGCATTTTAGAGAAAACATTTAGCCTTTGGTTTTTTTGGATTGGTTCATTTTGCTTAGCATGATATTCTCCAACTCCATCCATTTACTGGTAAATGCCATTATTTCATTCTTCTTTAAAGCCAAGTAATATTCCATTGTGTGTATGTATCAGATTTTCTTTATCCATTTATCTGTTGAAGGACACCTAGATTGGTTCCATAGTTTAGCTATTGTGAATTGAGCTACTATAAATAAGGACATGGTTGCATTACTGTAGTATGCTGATTTTAAGTACTTTGGGTATAAACCAAGGAGTGGAATAGCTGGGTCAAATGGTGTTTCCATTTCAAGTTTTCTGAGTAATCTCCATCCTGCTTTCCATATTGGCTGCACCAATTTGGAGTCCCACCAGCAACATATGAGTCTACCTTTCCCCCTACATCCTCGCCAACATTTATTGTTGCCTGTATTCTTGATGATTGCCATTCTGACAGGAGTCAGATGAAATCTTAGTGTAGTTTTGATTTGCATTTCTCCAATTGATAGACACTTCTGTGAAGTGTCTGTTCAGTTCCTTAGTCCATCTATTGATTGGATTATTTGTTTTTTTGGTGTTAAGTTTTTTTTCTTTATATATCCCAGAGATTAATGCTTTATTGGAGGTGCATGTGGTAAAGATTTTCTCCCAATCTGTAGGCTCTCTCCTCACATTATTGATTGTTTCCTTTGCTGAGAAGAAACTTTTTAATTTGAGTTCATCCCATTTATTGATTCTTGATTTTACTTCTTATGCTTTAGGAGTCTTGTTAAGGAAGTCAGATCCTAGGCTGACATGGTGAAGAATTAGGCCTACTTTTTCTTCTATTATGTGCAGGGTCTCTGTTCTAGTGCCTAAACCTTTGATCCACTTTGAGTTGATTTTTGTGCAGGGTGGGAGATAGAGGTTTAATTTTATTTTGCTACATATGGATTTCCAGTTTTGCCAGCACCATTTGTAGAATAGGCTATCTTTTCTCCAGTGACTGTTTTTGACACCTTTGTCTAGTATGACATAACCGTATTTATGTGGATTTGTATCTGTGTCCTCTATTCTGTACCATTGGTCTACAAGTCTATTTTAGTGCCAATATCATGCCACTTTTGTTACTACCACTCTGTAATATAGTTCTGGTATTGTGATGCCTCCTGCTTCACTTTTCTTGCTAAGGATTGCTTTGGCTATTCTGGGTCTCTTATTTTTTCCAAGTAAATTTTATGATTGCCCTTTCTGTTTCTATGAAGAATGTCCTTGAGATTTTAATAGGAATTGCATTAAATCTGTATAATGCTTTTGGTAATATGGCCATTTTGACAATATTAATTCTCCCTATGCAGGAGCAGGAGACTTTCCATCTTCTGAGGTTTTCTTCAATTTCTTTATTTAGTGTTCTGTAGTTTTCAGTGTAGAGGTCTCTCACCTCCTTTGTTAGGTTGATTCCCAAATATTTTATTTTTTTGTGGCTATTGCAATAGGGTAGTTTTCCTAATTTCTCTTTCAGTGGATTTATCGCTGATATATAGGAATGTGTTTGATTTTATGGGTGTTGAGCATTCTTAATTATACAAAAATCTTCAAGTTACTTTCAGTTTATCAGACCTCTACAAATTTCAGAAAGTGCCAGAGGAAACATTAAAATGCTGCTGTACAAGTCAAATTGCAGAACAAGCCAGAAATACCTCATAATCAAGATATAATATTTTAAAAATAATATCAGTTATTGTTTATATAAGCTCATGACACTAAATTGTTTTGGTACTTTGTAAGTTGGTGTTGCTACTTCTGTATCATTACAAACCCTGTTGTGTTTATAATTAATACAATACTTTGTAAAGCAGACTTTATTATATTCTTCACTGGCAATTCTCCATGCTCTTTGAATGAGGGACTCCAATTTTTCCTTTTGCATTGGGTCCCACAAATTTTGTAATGAGCCTTGATTGGGAATCTTGGTCCCTCAAGCTATTCTTGGAAGGAGGGCACTTGAAGTCAAAAAGAGATTGGGATGTTTGAGGAAGTGTTTTTTTCTTTACATATGACTAACTCATCTATCTTTTCCAGGTCCTTCAAATTGTTCAGGTTTGTTTGTGTGTCCTTCCTACAAGAATGATATGTTACAGATAGAAATACAAGAGATCTTTAGAAAGGAGCATTCTGATCATCCATGGCTCAGTCATGGAGTCACCCTCACATCACTATCTATAATAATTCTTTACTTTAATTAAAGTTGCCTCTTATTCCATTCTACTCTGGATGTAGTCTTTCCTTGACCTGTTATCCATTATTTTTATTTTTATTTTTGGGTACTGGAGGTTGAACTCAGGGGAACTTGACCACTGAGCCACATCCCCAGACTATTTTGTATTTTATTTAGAGAGAGTTGCTTAGTACCTCGCTGTTGCTGAGGCTGGCTTTGAACTCGCAATCCTACTGCCTCAGCCTCCTGAGCCACTGGAATTACAGAATGTGCCACTGTGCCTGGCTGTCATCCATTATTGATGTTACAGGAGTGATGGAAACCCAGAGAGGAACTCATCCTGAGGATCCTGTTTATTTCTGCTTCTGAAGAGGCCCAAGGACTGTTTAAGGGAACCTCAGACACAGTAGGTTGCATGTGAACATGAAAATGGTGCAGGACACTCCACTCACAGTCTCATACCACCCTGCTGGGAGCCATTAGTCAAGTAGGTATGACAATTTCCTTGCCAGCGTACCCCATGTTGCTTAGTGGAAGGACTCGTGGAAATAGGACATTTTGCA